TTTTTTTTTTGCACAATAGCATGATTTCAAAGCAAAAAAGGTGTATTTCTGCATAGAATAATTTCCCAAAGCATTTTGACATTTATGAATACTAGGCAAAAGCTGTGCAGAATTATTCATTTCCCCCTGCACCAGAGAGAAAATTGCAGAAACCATTTATCCTCTTATGCAATACTGAAAAATGAATAAATGCATCCTTACTAACTCCCCCATTCCACCATTTTTCTGCCAAAAGAAAAGTAAATTCTTCCTCTTTCCCTGTCCAAACTGTTTAATATGTGTGTGTGTGTGTGTGTGTGTGTCTGTTTTTCAAAACCAGGAGTGGTCTTCCTGTTTTACGTCTGCAGAAAATGAAGCCCCTTGTAGAGCAGTGTACAGACATGGGTTAATCCACCAGTAATTCAGAAGCATTACCTGATTGATCAAAAAGATTCAGAGAACCCATCTGGTTCTTTTTTGTGTCTCTCTTGCAAAAAGAAAGGTGGAATAATTCTTGGAAAGGTATAGCTCCAGCGTGATGTAGTGGTTTGGGCACTGGAGTATGATTCCAGAGACCAGGGTTCAAATCCCTGTTCAGCCATGGAACCCCACCTTGGACAAAGTCACGCTCTCTCAGCCTCAAAGGATGGAAACGGTCAACCCCTTTGAAGAAACTTGCCAAGGAAATCCATAGGTTTGTGTTAGGGTTGCCGTAAGACAGAAATGACGTGAAGGCACACAACAAGAACAAGGTGAAAAAGAGTAGACCATATGGATAGATTCAATCAAGGAGGAGAGGCCCATGAGCCTGAAGAAAGTATGCAAAGTGACTGAGGACAGGGGGGCTTGGAGGCATCTCATTCATGGGGTTGCTATGAGTTGAAGTCAACTCAAAGGTAGTTAATAACCACCACCTAACTGTGCATGCAACATTGGTTTCTGCATTCATCTGCACAAAACTGCCATTCAACACAAGGGGCTGAATAACACAAGCAATGCAATAACCCTGCACCTGGAGATTTGTGCTCTTGGCCGTGGTCTTATTATTCACTTATAATAAAGCACCTACAATTTACCAATCCCCTTGCACATGCTGAAAGGTAGAACAGTTCCTACCCACTGCCTCCCTGGCTAACAGACCTGATGCCAAAGATGAAAAGGGAAGGAACCAAAACCAGTGTTCCTTGTTTGGGTGACAGAAGGGACCCAGCTGGCCTCACTGGAATGGAGACATATTGGATTGCAAAAGAGGGGTCTCTGTTGGGATACCAATGGATTTTAAATTTCCTGGACTTTGCAAATCTCCTTATAGCCACAGGGCCAGGAGGAGGAGGATCCTGCCTACAAAAGATATCCTCCCTCTCCACCATACACTGCCATCTTAACTAAAGACTGAAACAACATGTAGGCATCTGACTAACATACCCAATTGTTTTCCTCCTGTTTGGGTTGTAACATCTTGCCTGATGAAGAAGAAGCCCATAGAGCTTTGAAAGCATGCAACAAGGATATTGTGCATTTTGGTTGGCCAATAAAGGTATCCCTGATGGATTTTTGTTTGAATTGTTGACTTATGTTCAACTTGTGGTCTACTAGGAACCCTACATGCCTTTCACATGTACTGTTGTCAAGCCATGCGTCACCCATCCTATATCTGTGCATTTCATTTTATATGTCGAGGCCATCTGTTGGGGATGCTTTGATTGAGAGTTCCTGCATGGCAGAATGGGGTTGGACTGGATGGCCCTTGTGGTCTCTTCTAACTCTATGGTTCTATGACAGTCCCTAATATGTCAAGGACAGGTCCGATCAATCCTCTGTTGGCCCACCTTTCCAGCTGCTTTTAACATGGCACAATTCCTCTCTCTTTGTTCCATTTCTCCCCTTTATCCTCAGCCTGCTTCCACTGCTGCAGACTTGAGTCCAAGGTGCAAAAGTAGTTTTTACTCAGTGAACTCAAGAGGAGGGAGAGGAGAGGAGAAGCAGAATTTTGCCCTTCCCAGGAGGCTCAGGCAAAAGCAACCTGCTGCAGCCTCTCCTAGTTTGCGTGCTCTTCCACATCAATAACTTTTGCCATCTTGACAACTCTCTGATGTTACCTGGCCACACATGTTCTGGTTTCCACCTGTGGGATATTGAAAACTCCCTCTGCATTTCCCTTTTGCTTATAAGACCACACAGTTACTTCCCTTATGGGCCTTGTTTATCATGTTGTGCATATGCACATCCCAAAGGCACATGTGGTAAGACAGTTTTGTGACTGTTAAACGAGAGCTCAGGCAAGTTCCTTTTGTGCAGAATAACTCCCAGAATCCTCCTCCCATGATATCTGAATTGAACTTCCCTGGGCTGAGCTGTTTGTCCTCCCAGTCTCTCTGCATCTTATGTTTCCTCTTGGCAGCTGGGAAGCAAGGTTTTGACATCTGTTAGGTGCAGAGGTGTGATAGCATGCGATGGAAAACATTAGAGACATACATCTTTGCTGGTGTCATTTTTGAATTCAAGAACAAATATTTGCAATCATTTTTTCCCATGCTCAGCCAGAAAACAAGGCTTGTTTTTGATTACTATTTGCACTACAATATGCTTTGATATTTTTGTCCAGAAATCAATATAGAAGACACTCCTTGGAAATCCATATGAGCTACCTTGGGTGTGTCTACACCAGGTGAAATAATCCAGGTGCAGTCAGGGTTAGTCTGCTCCAGAACTGTCCCAGATTCACTACTTGAGCATCACATATACCGGCACAAAAGTCACATGAAGCCATTGTACAGTCTAGACATCCAGTCAGCTGGGCCAACAGTGCATTGGCCAAGCAGCATTCTGGCAAAGCCCTGCTGGTGATGCTGCTTTTGCTGAGATGAGAATGGGGCACCCAGCCTTGTGACCAGCAGAGAGGAGGAGAGGACATGGCAACACCTGCCTGGTGGCAATCTGTCCTGGTGGGTGCTTGTGATGTGTGGACAACTGGATCATCCTGCTTATCACATTTGCAGATGACACCAAATTAGGAGGGGTAGCTAATACCCACAGAAGACAGGATCAGAATTCAGAATGACCTTAATAGATTAGAAAGCTGGGCCAAAGCTAACAA